TGTTCATTATTCGTGTTAGGGATTTATTTTTAAATTACTGTTAATCTTTAGACAACCAGTATTTCTTTTGCATAATCAAAATTGTCACTCTAAATTGCTGTCTTTTTTAGACAGATGTCACTTGTCTTTTCATTATTCAATTCATTATTCGAAATCTCAGAATGTTGTTTCGACAGTTTCATCTTAAAATAAAATTTTAATCAATCACAATTGTTTATCTCCATCATTTACCGGATTAATAATACAGAAATTACAGTTCAATTACAAACATTATTTATAGTGATTTATAGTAATTTTATTAAATTATACGAATATTCTCATTAATTATTGGTTTGAAATAAATATGACAGTGTCCTCCAATGAAAATGCGAGTTGCTAACTCTAAATTCTAATTCTGAGTTGGCAAATGAGCTAGATGCTTACTTCAGAAGCTACAAACCTATCGATGAAAATATGCATGAAATCAAGGTTGGTACAGTTTCAAGTTTACTATAGTGATTTTCTTAGCCGCGTATGGCACAGATCGTTACCCAGTGTTGCCACAAGCTTATTTTTCGTCGGGGTAGATTATCACGAGATAACGGGGTTAAATTGTTTTACAAAGGGGTAGATCTACCCCGAATGGAGTAGCAGTGGCAACACTGCCGCTATCACTTTCCTCTCGCTAGCTCACGCGACACGACTGTTTCGCATGAGTCTCGCGGCCGCCACAGCCGTCATTCAAGGCCGTGTGTAACGAAAAAAAAATGTGTTGAAAAAAATAATAAAATTTAGCAAACACGGAATTGTTTTTGACGTTCTGCTTAATATAAATAAGATATGATATTTCGCCGATGAAAATACGTAAAGGCGTATCTCGAATTTTGACGAAATTTAGATAGATCCGCCAATGCACATAAATTTAGATGTTCTTCAAGTTGTGACGTTAAGGCTTATCTCTAAAACGCACTGTTCGCTTATGGAAAATAAAAAGGGCGTTTTGTTAATCGCATAACGTAAAGGCGTATCTGAAATAATGTATTAAAAAATTCCTTTATAGTACATTTATCAATAATTTTTATCGTTTATCTTACTTAAAGCCTTGAGTTAAATAACCTCCAAAAATGAAACTCCCAATTTTAATACTCCGAGACTTATGTTTAAAATAGTAGAGTCATTTTTCTTAAAATCGCTCTCCTGAAAAATCATTAAAAACGAGCCTTTACGTATTTTCAACGGCGATTTGAAATACTAAAGTGTATAAAGCCGAATCAATTTAGATTGGGCATTTAAATTTTTGGAGATTTGTAGAATCCCGGGATTTAATATCGGGATTTTGGGATTAAACATATATCAGGATCCCGACATCCCGGGTTCCCGGTTTGGAAACTCTAGTAAAGATGTATAAAGATGGCGCTTTTACCCAAAAATGTTTCCATGGACAAAATTAAACATAGATAGTATTTTGGAATTGTTGAATCTTTGTGTTAAAACTATTTATTTTCAATTAAATAATTTTTTTTTTTCAACAAGATTTCGGTATGGCAATGGGATCACCTCTCTCCTTTGTTAAGTAATATTTTTATGGAAGATTTTGAAAATAATACAATAGTTTTTCAAAAAAAACTGTAATATGGCTGCGTTATGTTGATGATATTTTTGCAATATGGCAACATAACGTTTCTGAAATAGACATTTTTTTGGATTATATAAATTCTTGCGAACCTACCATAAAATTTACTTTAGAAGTAGAGAGAGGTAATTGTTTGCCATTTCTTGATGTTTTAGTGTCAAAGTTTCAAAATAAACTAATTTTAGATGTTTAGAGAAAACCCACAAACACAGATAGGTACTTAAATTTCACATCTAATCACAGTATAAGTCTAAAAAAAGGCGTTATAGAAAGATTATATGATAGGGCAAAAATAATATGTTCAGACGACATTTCACTAAACAGAGATATAAACCACATAAAAAATACATTAATAAAAAACGACTATCCACTATCCACCATATTTTATTGACAAAACATTAAACGAAATACAAACCCCAAATCACAGACACAATGATAGCAATACACAATATACAGGGTGTTTCAAAAGAAATGCGAAAAACTTCAGGGGGTGATTCCTTGTTCAAAATAAAGAGTAGTTTGCTTCATAAACGTTGGGTCAAAAGTCAACCATTAGGGAGATATTGCGGTACAAAGATGGCGGAAAAATAATGTTTTTATTTTTTATCTTGAAAACGAAAAGAGATAGACTAATAAAATTTTATGGAAGCATTACTGTTATGAAAACACACTTTCTGGTAATTTTTTCACTTTTTTAAAATGAGTGGAAGGGGTTGAAATAAACTACCCCTATCATTCTTGTTAACGAAATTTAAAGAAAAACCTTATCAAACACATGCAAAAGAATTAATTTGGATAGTTTAGTTTGTTTAGAAACTTTTTTATCTCTTGTATTTTTTTGATAAAACCGAGGGGTAAACCGCAGAGGGAAAAGTGTACACCGTAATTCCATTTACTCAAATAATTCCTCAGAATTCCTCGTAATTCCTTCGGAATTCCTTGGAATTCCTGGTCTTCAAGGTCAAGGTCAATCATTCAAGGTCTTCCTTGGAATTCCTTTGGTACGAACTCGGTAACTCTTTTCAGTCTGAACCAGCGTTGCCACCTCGGTTTCGCAGTTCCGCTATGAATTTTCTGGTGATTTTTATAAATGTCTAATGTCTCTATAAGTACTAGATCTAACAATAAAAAGTACTATTACGAGATTTACGTTTTTTTAGTTAAATTTTAGTACCAATAGGGGATCATGAGGTAAAAATACTGGAAATATGTCGGCACTTACTTATTAAAATTAATTTTTCTCGGGATTTTTTGAAAATGAGAGGTACCTAGTTATACTCGTATCTATAGGAAAGGAAATTAATAAAACTTCAGTTGCACGTCATAATACGATCACCAGTAAATTCCATAAGATTACGCATGGTATCATTGATGAAGTGCACCTAAAGTTGTATTAATTTTCCTATAGTATATACCTAGGTATTATTCCGAGGAAATGAAAAAATCAACTTTACACTTTCTGGAGTACTGAATAAAAAAATCTTATGAGGATTTCTTTAAAATGGCGAAATCAGGGAACGTTATAACTAGATCTCTCGGGGGTGGTTCGGCCGTACTATTGGAAAATATTTTAGATATATAATCGAGGGTACAATATTAAATTAAAAGAATATCTAACCTGTAGATATTTGATATTGGGAAATTTTGGAGCGAAAACGAAAAACGGATAGTAAAAAATCGCCTGCAAAACGTTTTTCTTTAAATTTAGTACTACCTATTATAGTATTCATGGTTTACTAACGTTCGTTAATTTTTTATAAAGTTGCTTGTAATTCCTCTTAATTCCTGTGGAATTCCTCTAAATTTCTAAGGAATTCCTTGGAATTCATTGGAATTCTTACCGAAATAATTGGAATTCCTAGTAATTCCTATGGAATTCCTTGGAATTCCTCGTAATTCCTTGGAATTCCTGTAGAATTCCTTCATAGTGTACACCATAATTCCTCTGCGGTTTACCCCTCGGATAAAACTCACCGATTTGAAATTAAAAAATAAAATGTAAAGCATTACATGTCAGGACAAAAAACATTTTCTGATAAAGAATCTAGTGGGCTGCTGTAATTTTTTAGGAAAAAATCTAGTCGGCCGCTGTTACTTTTTAAGATGTTCCTAATATTATTTTATTTGGCATTACTCTACTGCAATACGTTATTATCTAGATGATTATTATTATCGTTATTATCACTAGATTCTTAATCTAAAATATTTATAAAGCAAACTACCCTTTATTTTGAACAAGGAATCACCCCTTAAAGTTTTTCGCATTTGTTTTGAAACACCCTGTCTATAACTTACAATTCCATACATACGAGGCGTTTCGGAAAAAATAAGAAGGATAGGAAAACAATATAACATACGAATCTTTCAAAATACAAAATACACTTAGATCCATTTTATTACATACTAAACCAATGAATACAGAACAACAAACAAAAAATGTAATATACCAAATACCATGTGAATGCGATAAATTTTACATTGGTGAAACATCTAGACCCTTAAATGTTAGAATTAAAGAACATAAAGATTATTCAAGAAAGGGAGATTTTCACAAATCTAGATTTGTCAGCATTCATGGGACACAGAACACAGAATAAATTTTAATAACGGCAAAATTATAATGAAAGAAACGATAGTCTCTAAAAGAAAAATAAAAGAGGCTTTTTTAATACAATCTAATAAGAATAAATGTATTTCTCATGCATCTGTAGATGTTAGTAATGTATGGCAATCGCTTCTTTGATTTTAAAGAACATAACATAAATAAACATAACATACGTAAAAATTAAAAATAATCATACAGAAAATTTGGGGCTTTTTGGTTTTACCTTATTAAGTATTTGTAAACAGGTAGTTAATTGTTAATTTTGAAATTTAACTTGATATAATGTCATTTTAACAGAACATCAACGGTTCTTGTAGACGTATCTGTTTTAAAAACCTAAAGTGTTCTCGAATAGTTGAATTTAAATATTTTAAATAGTTTTTTGCGTAATTCTTTGTATTTTTTTTTGCTTCCGACGATGGAAAGAGATAAACTTTCCGAAACGTTAAGCATTTTTTTCTTTGTTAGGCAAATTTGTATAATTGTAAACCTAACTTCTGATAAGTAGTTTCCGTTTGGGTATAACGCCAGAAGTGTTTACAAAAAATAACTATTTTATTTTGTAGATTTTCTTGCAGTGGCGAAATACCCCTATAGGATTTTTTAGAGAAATACAGTTTTTGTTCTTCCTCATGTAATATTCTTCTCCCCACCCGGTACCCCCTCATATTATGTGGTACCTAAGTAATATCTTCTTTTTCCCCCCATTCCGATTCCAAACCCAATCAAGCGCCACTAGTGTTGCCCGTCCTCAGTTCACCGTCTGGTGTCAGTACCATCAGTATACTATAGTCGTCGTTGCATCGATTTTGCAAAACCACCACCGATCGACAGTCCATCGACTTTCTTTCGCTCGGTCGTACCGTATTCTGGTCCTTCGAACCACCAAAGCAACAGTAATAATCTGTGGCAGTACTCGGTCGACTGCTGCGGCGGTTCTTGTTGCTATGTAACCGAGTGCCGTGCGCTTATAGAAAAAGAAGCAGCTCAAAGATAAAGCTCGTCTCGTTTTGGTGTCTCTGTGTGAACAAATAAGAATTGGACTTGTGTGTGTTTGTGTATTTAATTTTGACAGTGTGGTGGCACAAAGGTACTTCTATTTGCTCGGGTATTATAGGTGCGTATTACTGTATAAACATACAAACATACAGGGTGTTCCGAGAAGTGTCTATGCCAAGTATTTCCAGCATAATATTGGGTGTTTTTTTTTGAGCTGTGAAGATTTTTTTCAAAAAAATGTGATGAATATATTGCGTTCACAGTTTGTTCACAAGAAGTAAAATGTTTTGATGTAATTTTTTATTAGGTTTTTCATTAGTGATGAGCAAGACTGGTCTTGTTGCTGCGGTTTTGGTTTTGGTCTTGAACAAAAAAGCATGACCAAGAAAGATCAGTCCAAGTCTCTTGTGATCTTGCTTGAAATTTTTATTTACTTATTTCACTCTCTATAATTTTTAAGTAAAAATAATAATTTTTTTTTCCTAAAGTATTGCCTGCGAATATGTGATTTGTGGTAGCCGTCAACAGTAAGCCATATTCGTATAAAAACTTTTTTTTCAAATGTCACAAAAGTATTAAATTTTGCAACTTTTGATTTTTAAACGGCACCTTCGGTATATTTTTACTTTATTTCATAGAAAATGACACTCTGAATAGAGTGATATATCATATGTCAACTTTTGACGTTTTCGGTTAAAAAAATTGTATTTTAAATTTTAACCTAGAGTGCCATGACTGTATTAAAAACACTAATTTTTAATCAAGGAGCCTTGGAACAATAGATTTGATCGTTTATTTTTTTTTCCAGTTTCGTCCTGGCAAGTTAAAAGATGCCCGAATCTTATTTTTAATCATATCTCAATTTTTCATTAGCATATTTGGAAAAGGCATTTTTCCCCGAAAAATTTGGCACAACATACTTAATATTTCGAATCAAATTGTCATTATAATCCGCATGTTAAAATTTATAAAATAAACCATATACGAAAATATCGAAAGTTATGATACATCACATAAATATGATAGCATTCTATTCAGAGTGTCATTTTCTATCCAATAAAGTGACAAAATACCGACGGTGTCATTTAAAAATCAAAATTTGTAGTCATTTCCAGTGAAACAGGAAGTGACCAAAAACAATTGAATGCGTCAATCAATCCTAATTTATGTCATATACTAACATACCAAATCTTTTTTTATCAGAAAAAAATAAAAAAGTTATAGGGGTGAGCCACTTTTGAGACGCACCCGGTATACATATTGAAAATAAAAAAAATCTCAAACAAATATTTTTTATTTTTTTAAAGTGTCATTGGTATTAAATTACTAACTACTATTTATTATTAAAGATGTATTTAAAAAGTGTGTAGTAAAATCTATTAAAAAATACATACCTACAACAGCAAGATCAAGACTATAGACTGCAAGACTAAGACCAAAAGAGTGTCTCTTGAACTTGCTTATCACAATTTTTCACTGATTTTCACTTATAGCTTATTTTATTAAAATTCTAAAAAAGTGTTAGAGTTCACTCTCTAGTTAGAAATCGATGTGAGAAAAACTGTTTCCCAATAATTATTTTTTTTTAATCTGCAAGGAAATAACATTTCCTTAGAAAAGAAAATATTTCCTTGCAGCATAAAATTAAATATTTTTAACAGATATTTATCGTTGTCTGGCAACAACTAGGTGTAAGGAAATGTTGACCAATGTGTTTCAAAACTGTTACTCAAAAGTGTTATCAAAAACGTCAATATTTCTGAATGATTTTCGAAAAAAAGGAAATTTAGATTTTTTCTTTTAAAAATATCAATATTTCTGAATAATTTTCGGAAAAAAGTTGTTTTAGAACTGTTTTAAAAACTCAAGAACTACAACTAGACAAGAAGTCCACCGATAGACATAGTAAAACTAGAACTGAAATTATATTTCTACTCCTTTCTCTGTTGTGGTTTTAATATAGAGCTCGGAATTCGACTTATTACATAACACAAAATAAGGTATAATATCACACGATAAAAAAACGGCGTCAAAGTCGGCTGGTGAGTGACAATGTAGTATGATTTGCTGGTAAAGGTCTATGCTGTGCACTACTCGGAACACCCTATATATGTGGCGGTGTTACATTGTATCTGATATTTTCCTGTTTTGTATAGAACTTGTGTACACATACATATATGCATTCATTATTCTAGGACGTTTGTGTTTGGTTTTTTCGAGCTTTGTTCGATCACGTATAGGAAGCGGTTTTTTTTTCAATTTTCTTCGTCGGTTTGCCTCGTACAGTCGTGCTAAAAGTGAAGGAAGCCGACTGTTCGGTTTGAACTACCTACATTCACACAACTATCGTAATAGATTGGTTTTGTTGAGAGTACGAGTAGAACAAGAGAGATAAGTAACATTGTAATTGAATATAATGAGTATATATAAGAAAGAAAACTATATGTTCGTTCAAAAAGGCCTGAAAACAGAATTCCAAAAAATAAAGGTTAAGTTATTTTTTTGTGTAAAGCTTAATTCAGAACCTCTCAATTAGTGGAATAAATTAGTGGTTTCAATTACACTTTATACTTTTTAGTTTACGATCATCCACAATGTCTAAAAGACACAATTAAAATTAATAGAATATCCTAGCATCAGCTTGGGTTAGTCAGTTGTATCCATAGAAAAAACCATTCCTACCTAACCAACCTAATATTTAGCTTATAACACAATCAACTTTTGATTTTTAACCTCAATTTTTCTTGGCGGAAGATAATCAAGGGCTAAAATGACATTTCTCGCAAATTTTAAAGTATAATTAGTTTTGAATGTTTACATTGAAATTAAAGGAACAAACTTATTAACAAATCAACAAAGGAACAAACAATTACAAGGTTCAGAATGAAGCTTTCGAATCCAACAAAAAGCACACACCGTTGACGAGTGTGCTGATAACCTGACATTGACATTACATTTTGCTGTTAAAGTCTACCTTATAGTGTCCCTTGAATGCTGACAAATTTTAGATACGAAAAAATCTAAATTATTTTGAATTAAATCTTTTATGTTGTTTAATTCGAACATTTAAAGATCTAGCTAGATGTTTCACCAATATAAAAGTTGTCACATTTGGCAAATGATAAAATAAAAAAGCCTAAAAAAATGCTGGGTCTTGATCATACTCAGTATGCACTGATGCGTCGCCGTCGATTTGAATCGTCCATGCACGCATAGTTAGTTTGATTACTTAAAGCGGAACCCAGGAATCTGGAAGACTCCATCCGTAACCTAAAATAGGAATCCTGCAACGGTCTAAGACACTCGAAGAAATTTCTCAGAACTTAAGACCCAGAAGAATCAAAGATTTTCTGTGATTTATGTAAGAACAGTCTTCGGATTGTCACGGTGTTTTAACAGGACACTGTCTCCTCAACGAACACCTCAGTAGATTGGAGCTAAGAAACAACGGCGAATGCAGATTCTACAGGGTGATTCTACAAATTCGAGGTACGAGCATTGGTATCTCGGTAACCGTAATAGATACGAACATGGTTAAATTGGGGCAAAGTTGCCGTATTGGGATGTTCACCAAGATGCCATCAAAAAAGTTTTAAAAATTTCAAGGATTTCTGAGTTTTTTTTGGAAAAAACTGATTTTTTTGAAAATCAATTTTATTTTTTCCTGTCGTTACTTTTTAGAAAATCAAAAAACTAATTGCACATTCTCATACCCACTTTATTAGGGCTATCTGATAGTACTTTTAGATTTTCAAGTTAGCTGATAATTTGTGAGATACAGAGGCCAACTTAATTTTTTTAAATACGGACCTGCATTTTTTATTTCAGGTTTTGAAAGAACTCGGTCTCCTGAATACAATGATATGCCACACTTTATACTTTTTTTTTGTTTTGGATATCTTAATAGCAACAGAACTATTAAATTATTATTAAAAAATAAGTCCGACTCTGGTTTCTTAAATTATTTAATCTAATTATTATCATTGCAACAATAATGATCAGCGTTAATTAACATTGAATAAGGAAAATCGCGCACGCGAGCCAATTGGAAGATTCAAATAAATAATATCCAGGTCAGAAATTTAAAGATATTATTTTTAACTTTTTTTATTGTGAATTGGAACTCTCAGTGTGCGATCTAATAATATGCATAATATTAATCGTAGTTATTATAAATAAATCAACTTCTACAAACTAGTTTCTAATGTTCTACATGTTCGAAAGAGTTACCACCCTCCCTATTGGTCAAATTTATTTTTCGCTCAATTTTATTTATAGCTCTTTGAACTTTCTTCTTATACTTGCTGAATGTATGTACTCTTTATTGTAAATTGCATACCGCAAGCATTGCATTTTGTACTCTTTATTGTAAATGTTGAGATGAATTAATTTAACTTTTTTACAAATGACGTCAAATAATGTAGCCTCTTGGCGATAGGTCCAGGAACCTCGCCGGACATTACACTGCTCTACCATTTCCAATCCATCTTCCGGGAAAATTATTTGATTGTTTATATTATATTTATATTAATTATTTTATATTATTTTATTGCATTTGATTTTCCATATTCAATGTTTTACCCCAAGTCATTCTTAAGTTTGAAAGCTTATCAATATTGTAACGATGAAAAGATTAAATATTTAAAAAAACAGAGCCCCACTTCAAATTAGTTTAAATAAATTGTGTTCAAATGTCAAAACAAAAAAAAATAAGTGTAGCATATCATTGTACTCAGGAGACCGAAATCTGAAATAAAAAATGCAGGTCCGTGTTTAAAAAAAATAAGTTCGCCTCTGTATCTCAAAAATTATCAACTAATTTGAAAATCTTAATTATCAACTAATTTGATGGCATCTTGGTGAACATCCCAAGATGGCAACTTTGCCCCAATTTAACTATGTTCGTGTCTATTACGGTTAACGAGATGCCAATGCTCGTACCTCGAATTTGTAGCACCCTGTATAGGGGAAATGGGGAAACACCAGAACACGTCATTGCTGAGTGCGCCGAGACGACAACCATTTGTGCTATAAACTTTGGTACGACTAATATCGGAGATGAAGAACTAACCTCTGTAAAACTCAGATACTGGCTTTTGTCAAAGCCCTGAAACTCTA